TGTTCCTGATGGATTCTTCTTTCGTTATTTTTCCTCCGCTTTAAACTGGAAAATGGCCCACTTCCCACTGGCGAAAACTCAGGAAATTTGGCAGGACGACCGGGCCTGGTGAAAAATTTGATATTCTGAAGTCGTCCAAACAAAAAAATGAAAAATGGCTCCATAGCGCCCCCTATGGTGAAAACTCACCTGATGCCTGTACGCTTTGTCAAAATGACACAAAATTTGACACACATGTGTATCTCAATAAGATCTACGAAAAAGTCAGTGCGGGCGTATCTGCCAAATGTACGGTTAAAGGGCTATTTCGCTTTTTTTGCCGATCCGCACACATTGGAATTTCGCTAACTCCTCCGAAGGCTTTCGTTCCACCGGCACCAAGTTTGCTCAGGCCAATCTACACCCCATGGCCATTCAAAGTTGTACAAATCATGATGCTGCACCCCACGGTTTACTTTCTAGGGGGCGCCAAAGATAACACAAAAATCCACATTCTTAAAAGTCTTATAACTTTTTATTTTTGTCCTCACTGGCCTCCAAGTTTTCTAGGATGATGCAATGTCTAGCCATCAACACATTTGTGAAGGAATTTTTACTCCCCAAAAGAGCGCCCCCCCATGGCAGGAGAAAAAAGTCCATTTTTTCTTGTCTCCTAAGGTAAAAATACACATTGTTGAGTGTCACGCCTATACACTTTGTCATATTGACACACAATTTGACAATCACGTGTATCTCAATAAGATCTACAAAAAAGTCAATAGGCACGTATCTGTCAAATGTATGGTTAAAGGGCTATTTCGCATTTTTTGCCGATTCGCACACATTGGAATGTGGCTAACTCCTCCTAAGGCTTTCGTCCCACCGATACCAAATTTGCTCAGGGCAATCCACACCCCATGGCCATTCAAAGTTGTAAAAATCATGACGCTGCACCCCACGGTTTACGTTCTAGGGGGCGCCAAAGATGACCCAAAAATCCACATTCTTAAAAGTCATTTTGGCCACTGCAGGAGTACAGAGTACTGCAGTTCTAGGGGGCGCCAAAGATGACCCAAAAATCCACATTCTTAAAAGTCTTTTTGGCCACTGCAGGAGTACAGAGTACTGCCGGACACACACACATATACACACACGCCCACACACACACACACACACACACACACACACACACACACACACACACACACACTCAGAGTCTGTTTTTTAGCACCTGCAAAAACATGCTGTTTACATATTTGACAAAAATGCAGAGGCTTCCTTTTGCCCCTGAAAAAAATCAAATTTCAAACACAACTTGACTGTTCATTTCTCCAAAAGACAACCATGAAGCTCCATCCAAACCTGAAGCAGATAGTTGGTGCATGTGTACAGTAACCTGAGGAGAGTGAGGTGACTACTTCTGAGGAGAACATGAGCAGTGAAGATTCACCTTGGAGCTAGAACAGGGACGTGCACATGATTATACAGGGGCAGGGGCTCAAGTTTTTTCCAGTCATTTATACAATATGGAAATTAATGTGAAATTAAACCACAAATATGTGTGATGAACTGTTTTTAAAACTTAAACTTCAAATAAAAATTGTAAACTTCAAAACATATGCAAATTTTTAACAAAGAACATAGTAATTAACCTCTATTTACATCAAAATGCAGGCAATGGCCCAGGCGTTCTTTGTAAAATTATTTACAAAACACTGTATAGTCTCACAAATGTCACTTTTTATTTATGCCACTACAAAAAAACATGATGTAAATGATGCATGATGTAAAACATGATGTAAAAAACTTGTGTAGATCCTCCTCTATGTCAGTCCATGTGTAATTTTTCCATAATTCTTTGTTTTTTGCAGCATTTTTGTTAGTGTAACTGCAGATTGTGCTGACAGTGTCTATGGCAAAAAAAAAAAAAAACTGAAAATGCCTCAACATGAACTCCTGGTGGTCTCTGAGGGTGAAACCTGCTAACTGCTGCAGCTCTCTCAGCTCTAGTCTCCCATGCAGAGCTCGGAGCGCATGTGTGGCTCTGCACCCTTAGCAGCGTTGCTAACTCCTCAGTAAGGAAAGCCTGCTTCATGTCAGAGTCTCTAAACTCCAGAGGAAGTCGATAAAATTCCCTTTCTTTCTAAAAAAAAGTCGTTAGGGGGTCTGAAAAGTCATTGAATCTAACAACAAAGTCGCTAGGTTTGCAACTACGTTTCCCAGACTGCATCCCTGCTGAGAGTTCCTCCCTCCCTTCTCATATTGCAGGAAGAACGTAAGCGCCCGCCCCTTGTCAATCAGTCACCATATAATTTTGGATTGGTTGTTGTGGTGAAGTTTTCCACCAATAGGAGAGATGTTGTGGTGTGTTTTTTTTTTCTTTTGGCATGCCTTTTCCGCCTGTAAGAGCTGTCGCTAATGTCTGCATGCTATGTTTTCCTGTCTCATACAGCGTGATCGAGCGCCGAACGTGATCAAAATAAGCAGAAAAAAAGTATCGCGGACATAATTTATCATAACTCTGGTTTTATTTGGCCTATCAACACAATTTAAAAACTGGTATATAGTTTGAGGTCCTCACTTTTGAGATAAGTTGAAACGGAGGGTGAACGAGGCTCCGTCTTGCAGCTACATCCGGTTAAATATGTCATGTGACTTGAACGCTGGGGAGCGTCAATCGACTGCAGAGCCAGCAGACAAAGTAGTTATGCCACTGAGAGGCACACATTTGTCATATGCTATAATCCTAACATATTTTAATGCTTTTTCTATTTAAACCTAATGGATCTAAGGTTTGACCTTCAAAATTTAGGAAGAATATGTTTTTGCAGTAATGACCCCCTTAAACAACCAGAGGTCCTTTCCTAAAGTTTATGGAAATTTTAGTGAAGGCCTTGGTTTCTTTCCTTGCAAAATGTATAGAAATAATAAAGCTAAATACCATAAAATGGTCTTGGCGTATTAGCAGTGATATAAAATAGTGGTTTGAATATGAATGAACAACAAAAAAAAACATCAACAGAGCCTTTTTGAGTTGGGATTCTTTCATTATCACACAAAAACAGACATAGACAGACATCTAAAGGGTAAGGGAATGATCAGCCCTCCTAACTCTCAGATGAATCTTCAAAATTCACCGCAGAAATATGCTTATTATTCTTCTCAGAGTACTGCAAGATATATACACACACACACACACACACACACACACACACACACACACACACACACACACTCAGAGTCTGTTTTTTAGCACCTGCAAAAACATGCTATTTACATATTTGACAAGAATGCAGAGGCTCCTTTTGCCCCTGAAAAAAATCTAATTTCAAACACAACTTGACTGCTCATTTCTCCAAAAGACAACCATGAAGCTCCATCCAAACCTGAAGCAGGCAGTTGGTGCATGTGTACAGTAACCTGAGGGGAGTGAGGTGACTGCTTCTGAGGAGAACATGAGCAGTGAAGATTCACCTTGGAGCTAGAACAGGGACGTGCACATGATTATACAGGGGCAGGGGCTCAAGTTTTTTCCAGTCATTTATACAATATGGAAATTAATGTGAAATTAAAAAACAAAGTATTAATAGAAAGGTAATGACTGTCCTGTGTAGATGACAGTGATATCCAATAGGCTAGGCACTCACGAGGCTGGCTGTGGCAAGTGTAAGTGAAAGCAACACGCACTGGCAGGAAGAACAGCAAACGCCGATGAAGGAAAAGGGTCTTTGCAGTGATGGGCGTTACCAGAGAGGGCGATGGCCAGAGGACACGAATGGGACGGGGAGGCAGCGCGGGGGGGGGGGCGGCGCGACACGGCTCGGGCCCGCCAGTGCCCCAACGGGGCCCTAGTTAGGGCCCGAGCGTAGCTGCTAAGCAGCTGCGAGAGCCCTCTTGTTCCTGCATGTTTCCTTCTTTCGTTATTATTTTTCCTCCGCTTCAAACTGGAAAATGGCCCACTTCCCACTGGCGAAAACTCAGGAAATTTGGCAGGACGTCCGGGCCTGGTGAAAAATTCGATATTCTGAAGTCGCCCAAACAATAAAATGCAAAATGGCTCCATAGCGCCCCCTAAGGTGAAAATTCACATGACGGCTGTACGCTTTGTCATATTGACACAAAAATTGACACACACATGTATCTCAATAAGATCTACAAAAAAGTCTGTGCGGGCGTATCTGTCAAATGTACGGTTAATGGGTTATTTTGCATTTTTTGCAGATCTGCACACATTGGAATTTCGCTAACTCCTCCGAAGGCTTTCGTTCGACCGGCACCACATTTGCGCAGGCCAATCTACCCCCCATGGCCATTAAAAGTTGTACAAATCATGACGCTGCACCCCACGGTTTACGTTCTAGGGGGCGCCAAAGATAACCCAAAAATCCACATTCTTAAAAGTCTTATAACTTTTTACTTTTGTCCTCACTGGCCTCCAAGTTTTCTAGGATGATGCAATGTCCAGCCATCAACACATTTGTGAAGGAATTTTTACTCCCCAAAAGAGCGCCCCCCCATGGCAGGAGAAAAAAGTCCATTTTTTCTTGTCCAATAAGGTGAAAATACACATTGTTGACTGTCATACCTGTACGCTTTGTCATATTGACACAAAATTTGACACACACATGTATCTCAATAAGATCTAAGAAAAAGTCAATGCGCGCGTATCTGTAAAATGTACGGTTAAAGGGCTATTTTGCATTTTTTGCCGATTAGCACACATTGGAATGTGGCTAACTCCTCCTAAGGCTTTCGTCCCACTGATACCAAATTTGCTCAGGCCAATCTACACCCCATGGCCATTCAAAGTTGTAAAAATCATGACGCTGCACCCCACGGTTTACGTTCTAGGGGGCGCCAAAGATGACCCAAATATCCACATTCTTAAAAGAATCCACATCCCCCCCCCCCCATCCCCCATCCCCCATCCCCCATGGCACAAGAAACAGTCAAGTTTTTCCTGCCCATCACTCAATGGCTCAATCGCATCGCTCTCCCGGCAACACCGTAATGAGGAGCACCTTGCCATTTGGATATATCCTAGCTGTGTTTGTGCCCTCACTCATGGTCCAGACTTTTTTCAAATAGGACATGTAGTTTGTCTGCAGCGAGTGTTTTGGTAGAAACTGCGCCTCCCATTCATTTTAATGGGAAATGACCACAGACAAGTGGGCACACCATCTTTGGACCTTGAGTGTGACGCGATCGGGAGGGGGGGGGCGGTCGCGCTGGGGGCGGCACAACGCGGCTCGGGCCCGACAGTGCCCCACCGGGGCCCTAGTTATTATTTTTCCTCCCCTTTGAACTGGAAAATGGCCCACTTCCCACTGGCGAAAACTCATGAAATTTGGCAGGACGACCGGGCCTGGTGAAAAATTTGATATTCCGCAGTCGCCCAAACAAGAAAATGCAAAATGGCTCCATAGCGCCCCCTAAGGTGAAAATTCACACTATTGAATGTCACGCCTGTACGCTTTGTCAAAATGACACAAAAATTGACACACACATGTATCTCAATAAGATCTACAAAAAAGTCAGTGCGGGCGTATCTGTCAAATGTACGGTTAAAGGGTTATTTCGCATTTTTTGCCGATCCGCACACATTGGAATTTCGCTAACTCCTCCGAAGGCTTTCGTTCCACCGGCACCACATTTGCTCAGGCCAATCTACACCCCATGGCCATTAAAAGTTATTCAAATCATGACGCTGCACCCCACGGTTTAGGTTCTAGGGGGCGCCAAAGATAACCCTAAGATCCACATATTTTAAAGTCTTATAACTTTTTATTTTTGTCCCCACTGGCCTCCAAGTTTTCTAGGATGATGCAATGTCCAGCCATCAACACATTTGTGAAGGAATTTTTACTCCCCAAAAGAGCGCCCCCCCATGGCAGGAGAAAAAAGTCCATTTTTTCTTGTCCCCTAAGGTGAAAATACACATTGTTGAGTGTAACACCTGTACGCTTTGGCAAAATGACACCAAAATTGACACACACATGTATCTCAATAAGATCTACAAAAAAGTCAATGCGCGCGTATCTGTCAAATGTACGGTTAAAGGGTTATTCCGCATTTTTTGCCGATCCGCACACATTGGAATTTCGTTAACTCCTCCGAAGGCTTTCGTTCCACCGGCACCACATTTGCTCAGGCCAATCTACACCCCATGGCCATTAAAAGTTATTCAAATCATGACGCTGCACCCCACGGTTTAGGTTCTAGGGGGCGCCAAAGATAACCGTAAAATCCACATATTTAAAAGTCTTATAACTTTTTATTTTTGTCCCCACTGGCCTCCAAGTTTTCTAGGATGATGCAATGTCCAGCCATCAACACATTTGTGAAGGAATTTTTACTCGCCAAAAGAGTGCCCCCCCATGGCAGGAGAAAAAAGTCAATTTTTTCTTGTCCACTAAGGTGAAAATACACATTGTTGAGTGCTACGCCTGTATGTTTTGTCGTATTGACACAAAAATTGACAATCATGTGTATCTCAATTAGATCTACGAAAAAGTCAAAGAGCGCGTATTTGTATAATGTACGGTTAAAGGGCTATTTTGCATTTTTTGCCGATTCGCACACATTGGAATGTGGCTATCTCCTCCTAAGGCTTTCGTCCCACCGATACCAAATTTGCTCAGGGCAATCTACACCCCATGCCCATTCAAAGTTGTAAAAATCATGGCGCTGCACCCCACGGTTTACGTTCTAGGGGGCGCCAAAGATGACCCAAAAATCCACATTCTTAAAAGTCATTTTGGCCACTGCAGGAGTACAGAGTACTGCAGTTCTAGGGGGCGCCAAAGATGACCCAAAAATCCACATTCTTAAAAGTCTTTTTGGCCACTGCAGGAGTACAGAGTACTGCAGGATACACACACATATACACACACGCCAACATACACACACACACACACACACACACACACACACACACACACTCAGAGTCTGTTTTTTAGCACCTGCAAAAACATGCTGTTTACATATTTGACAAGAATGCAGAGGCTTCCTTTTGCCCCTGAAAAAAATCAAATTTCAAACACAACTTGACTGTTCATTTCTCCAAAAGACAACCATGAAGCTCCATCCAAACCTGAAGCAGATAGTTGGTGCATGTGTACAGTAACCTGAGGGGAGTGAGGTGACTATTTCTGAGGAGAACATGAGCAGTGAAGATTCACCTTGGAGCTAGAACAGGGACGTGCACATGATTATACAGGGGCAGGGGCTCAAGTTTTTTCCAGTCATTTATACAATATGGAAATTAATGTGAAATTAAACCACAAATATGTGTGATGAACTGTTTTTAAAACTTAAACTTCAAATAAAAATTGTAAACTTCAAAACATATGCAAATTTTTAACAAAGAACATAGTAATTTACCTCTATTTACATCAAAATGCAGGCAATGGCCCAGGCGTTCTTTGTAAAATTATTTACAAAACACTGTATAGTCTCACAAATGTCACTTTTTATTTATGCCACTACAAAAAAACATGATGTAAATGATGCATGATGTAAAACATGATGTAAAAAACTTGTGTAGATCCTCCTCTATGTCAGTCCATGTGTAATTTTTCCATAATTCTTTGTTTTTTGCAGCATTTTTGTTAGTGTAACTGCAGATTGTGCTGACAGTGTCTATGGCACACAAAAAAAAAAAAATTAAAATGCCTCAACATGAACCCCTGGTGGTCTCTGAGGGTGAAACCTGCTAACTGCTGCAGCTCTGTCAGCTTCAGTCTCCCATGCAGAGCTCTGAGCGCATGTGTGGCTCTGCACCCTTAGCAGCGTTGCTAACTCCTCAGTAAGGAAAGCCTGCTTCATGTCAGAGTCTCTAAACTCCAGAAGAAGTCGATAAGTGAAAGCAACACGCACTGGCAGGAAGAACAGCAAACGCCGATGAAGGAAAAGGGTCTTTGCAGTGATGGGCGTTACCAGAGAGGGCGATGGCCAGAGGACACAAATGGGACGGGAAGGCAGCACGTTGGGGGGGGGGGAGGGACGCGACACGGCTCGGGCCCGCCAGTGCCCCAACGGGGTCCTAGTTAGGGCCCGAGCGTAGCTGCTAAGCAGCTGCGAGAGCCCTCTTGTTCCTGATGGATTCTTCTTTTTAGGGCCCGAGCGTAGCTGCTAAGCAGCTGCGAGAGCCCTCTTGTTCCTGTAGTTTCCTTCTTTTGTTATTATTATTATTATTATTTTTCCTCCCCTTTGAACTGGAAAATGGCCCACTTCCCACTGGCGAAAACTCATGAAATTTGGCAGGACGACCGGGCCTGGTGAAAAATTTGATATTCCGAAGTCGCCCAAACAAGAAAATGCAAAATGGCTCCATAGCGCCCCCTAAGGTGAAAATTCACACTATTCACTGTCACGCCTGTACGCTTTGTCAAAATGACACAAAAATTGACACACACATGTATCTCAATAAGATCTACAAAAAAGTCAGTGCGGGCGTATCTGTCAAATGTACGTTTAAAGGGTTATTTCGCATTTTTTGCCGATCCGCACACATTGGAATTTCGCTAACTCCTCCGAAGGCTTTCGTTCCACCGGCACCACATTTGCTCAGGCCAATCTACACCCCATGGCCATTAAAAGTTATTCAAATCATGACGCTGCACCCCACGGTTTAGGTTCTAGGGGGCGCCAAAGATAACCCTAAGATCCACATATTTAAAAGTCTTATAACTTTTTATTTTTGCCCTCACTGGCCTCCAAGTTTTCTAGGATGATGCAATGTCCAGCCATCAACACATTTGTGAAGGAATTTTTACTCCCCAAAAGAGCGCCCCCCCATGGCAGGAGAAAAAAGTCCATTTTTTCTTGTCCCCTAAGGTGAAAATACACATTGTTGAGTGTAACACCTGTACGCTTTGGCAAAATGACACCAAAATTGAGACACACATGTATCTCAATAAGATCTACAAAAAAGTCAATGCGCACGTATCTGTCAAATGTACGGTTAAAGGGTTATTCCGCATTTTTTGCCGATCCGCACACATTGGAATTTCGCTAACTCCTCCGAAGGCTTTCGTTCCACCGGCACCACATTTTCTCAGGCCAATCTACACCCCATGGCCATTAAAAGTTATTCAAATCATGACGCTGCACCCCACGGTTTAGGTTCTAGGGGGCGCCAAAGATAACCGTAAAATCCACATATTTAAAAGTCTTATAACTTTTTATTTTTGTCCCCACTGGCCTCCAAGTTTTCTAGGATGATGCAATGTCCAGCCATCAACACATTTGTGAAGGAATTTTTACTCGCCAAAAGAGCGCCCCCCATGGCAGGAGAAAAAAGTCCATTTTTTCTTGTCCACTAAGGTGAAAATACACATTGTTGAGTGCTACGCCTGTATGTTTTGTCGTATTGACACAAAATTTTACATACACGTGTCTTTCAATAAGATCTTGGAAAAAGTCAATGGCCACGTATCTGTAAAATGTACGGTTAAAGGGTTATTTCGCATTTTTTGCAGATTCGCACACATTGGAATTTCGCTAACTCCTCCGAAGGCTTTCGTTCCACCGGCACCACATTTGCTCAGGCCAATCTACACCCCATGGCCATTAAAAGTTATTCAAATCATGACGCTGCACCCCACGGTTTAGGTTCTAGGGGGCGCCAAAGATAACCCTAAAATCCACATATTTAAAAGTCTTATAACTTTTTATTTTTGTCCTCACTGGCCTCCATGTTTTCTAGGATGATGCAATGTCCAGCCATCAACACATTTGTGAAGGAGTTTTTTCTCGTTAAAAGAGCGCCCCCCCATGGCAGGAGAATAAAGTCAAGTTTTTCCTGTTCATCATTCAATGGCTCAAACGCACTGCTCTCTCGGCAAAAGCGAAAGGAGGAGCAACTTGCCATTTGGATATATCTTAGCTGTGTTTGTGCCCTCACTCATGGTCCAGACTTTTTTCAAATAGGACATGGACTTTTTCTGCAGCGAGCGTTTTGGTAGAAACTGCGCCTCCCGTTCATTTTAATGGTAAATGACCACAAACAAGTGCGCACACCATCTTTGGACCTTGAGTGTGACGCGATCGGGTGGGGGAGGCGGTCGTGCTGGGGGCGGCGTGACACGGCTCGGGCCCGCCAGTGCCCCAACGGGGCCCTAGTGTTATTATTATTATTATTATTTTTCCTCCGCTTTAAACTGGAAAATGGCCCACTTCCCACTGGCGAAAACTCAGGAAATTTGGCAGGACGACCGGGCCTGGTGAAAAATTCGATATTCTGAAGTCGCCCAAACAATAAAATACAAAATGGCTCCATAGCGCCCCCTAAGGTGAAAATTCACACTATTGACTGTCACGCCTGTAGGCTTTGTCATATTGACACAAAAATTGACACACACATGTATCTCAATAAGATCTACAAAAAAGTCAGTGCGGGCGTATCTGTCAAATGTACGGTTAAAGGGTTATTTCGCATTTTTTGCAGATCCGCACACATTGGAATTTCGCTAACTCCTCCGAAGGCTTTCGGTCCACCGGCACCACATTTGCTCAGGCCAATCTACACTCCATGGCCATTCAAAGTTGTACAAATCATGATGCTGCACCCCATGGTTTAGGTTCTAGGGGACGCCAAAAATAACCCTAAAATCCACATTCTTAAAAGTTTTATAACTTTTTATTTTTGCCCTCACTGGCCTCCAAGTTTTCTAGGATGATGCAATGTCCAGCCATCAACACATTTGTGAAGGAATTTTTACTCCCCAAAAGAGCGCCCCCCCATGGCAGGACAAAAAAGTCAATTTTTTCTTGTCCCCTAAGGTGAAAATACACATTGTTGAATGTCACGCCTGTACGCTTTGTCATATTGACACAAAATTTGACAATCACGTGTATCTCAATAAGATCTACGAAAAAGTCAATGCGCGCGTATCTGTAAAATGTACGGTTAAAGGGCTATTTCGCATTTTTTGCCGATTCGCACACATTGGAATGTGGCTAACTCCTCCTAAGGCTTTCGTCCCACTGACACCAAATTTGCTCAGGCCAATCTACACCCCATGGCCATTCAAAGTTGTAAAAATCATGACGCTGCACCCCATGGTCTACGTTCTAGGGGGCGCCAAAGAGGACCCAAATATCCACATTTTTAAAAGTCTTATAACTTTTTATTTTTGTCCTCACTGGCCTCCAAGTTTTCTAGGATGATGCAATGTCCAGCCATCAACACATTTGTGAAGGAATTTTTTCTCCCCAAAAGAGCGCCCCCCCATGGCAGGAGAAAAAGTCAAGTTTTTCCTGCCCATCGCTCAATGGCTCAAACGCATCGCTCTCTCGGCAAAACCGAAAGGAGGAGCAACTTGCCATTTGGATATATACTAGCTGTGTTTGTGCCCTCACTCATGGTCCAGACTTTTTTCAAAAAGGACATGGAGTTTGTCTGCAGCGAGCGTTTTGGTAGAAACTGCGCCTCCCATTCATTATAATGGTAAATGACCACAGACAAGTGCGCACACCATCTTTGGACCTTGAGTGTGACGCGATCGGGAGGGGTAGGCGGTCGCGCTGGGGGCGGCGTGACACGGCTCGGGCCCGCCAGTGCCCCACCGGGGCCCTAGTTATTATTTTTCCTCCGCTTTAAACTGGAAAATGGCCGACTTCCCACTGGCGAAAACTCATGAAATTTGGCAGGACGACCGGGCCTGGTGAAAAATTTGATATTCCGCAGTCGCCCAAACAAGAAAATGCAAAATGGCTCCATAGCGCCCCCTAAGGTGAAAATTCACACTATTGAATGTCACGCCTGTACGCTTTGTCAAAATGACACAAAAATTGACACACACATGTATCTCAATAAGATCTACAAAAAAGTCAGTGCGGGCGTATCTGTCAAATGTACGGTTAAAGGGTTATTTCGCATTTTTTGCCGATCCGCACACATTGGAATTTCGCTAACTCCTCCGAAGGCTTTCGTTCCACCGGCACCACATTTGCTCAGGCCAATCTACACCCCATGGCCATTAAAAGTTATTCAAATCATGACGCTGCACCCCACGGTTTAGGTTCTAGGGGGCGCCAAAGATAACCCTAAGATCCACATATTTTAAAGTCTTATAACTTTTTATTTTTGTCCCCACTGGCCTCCAAGTTTTCTAGGATGATGCAATGTCCAGCCATCAACACATTTGTGAAGGAATTTTTACTCCCCAAAAGAGCGCCCCCCCATGGCAGGAGAAAAAAGTCCATTTTTTCTTGTCCCCTAAGGTGAAAATACACATTGTTGAGTGTAACACCTGTACGCTTTGGCAAAATGACACCAAAATTGACACACACATGTATCTCAATAAGATCTACAAAAAAGTCAATGCGCGCGTATCTGTCAAATGTACGGTTAAAGGGTTATTCCGCATTTTTTGCCGATCCGCACACATTGGAATTTCGTTAACTCCTCCGAAGGCTTTCGTTCCACCGGCACCACATTTGCTCAGGCCAATCTACACCCCATGGCCATTAAAAGTTATTCAAATCATGACGCTGCACCCCACGGTTTAGGTTCTAGGGGGCGCCAAAGATAACCGTAAAATCCACATATTTAAAAGTCTTATAACTTTTTATTTTTGTCCCCACTGGCCTCCAAGTTTTCTAGGATGATGCAATGTCCAGCCATCAACACATTTGTGAAGGAATTTTTACTCGCCAAAAGAGTGCCCCCCCATGGCAGGAGAAAAAAGTCAATTTTTTCTTGTCCACTAAGGTGAAAATACACATTGTTGAGTGCTACGCCTGTATGTTTTGTCGTATTGACACAAAAATTGACAATCATGTGTATCTCAATTAGATCTACGAAAAAGTCAAAGAGCGCGTATTTGTATAATGTACGGTTAAAGGGCTATTTTGCATTTTTTGCCGATTCGCACACATTGGAATGTGGCTATCTCCTCCTAAGGCTTTCGTCCCACCGATACCAAATTTGCTCAGGGCAATCTACACCCCATGCCCATTCAAAGTTGTAAAAATCATGGCGCTGCACCCCACGGTTTACGTTCTAGGGGGCGCCAAAGATGACCCAAAAATCCACATTCTTAAAAGTCATTTTGGCCACTGCAGGAGTACAGAGTACTGCAGTTCTAGGGGGCGCCAAAGATGACCCAAAAATCCACATTCTTAAAAGTCTTTTTGGCCACTGCAGGAGTACAGAGTACTGCAGGATACACACACATATACACACACGCCAACATACACACACACACACACACACACACACACACACACACACACACACACACTCAGAGTCTGTTTTTTAGCACCTGCAAAAACATGCTGTTTACATATTTGACAAGAATGCAGAGGCTTCCTTTTGCCCCTGAAAAAAATCAAATTTCAAACACAACTTGACTGTTCATTTCTCCAAAAGACAACCATGAAGCTCCATCCAAACCTGAAGCAGATAGTTGGTGCATGTGTACAGTAACCTGAGGGGAGTGAGGTGACTATTTCTGAGGAGAACATGAGCAGTGAAGATTCACCTTGGAGCTAGAACAGGGACGTGCACATGATTATACAGGGGCAGGGGCTCAAGTTTTTTCCAGTCATTTATACAATATGGAAATTAATGTGAAATTAAACCACAAATATGTGTGATGAACTGTTTTTAAAACTTAAACTTCAAATAAAAATTGTAAACTTCAAAACATATGCAAATTTTTAACAAAGAACATAGTAATTTACCTCTATTTACATCAAAATGCAGGCAATGGCCCAGGCGTTCTTTGTAAAATTATTTACAAAACACTGTATAGTCTCACAAATGTCACTTTTTATTTATGCCACTACAAAAAAACATGATGTAAATGATGCATGATGTAAAACATGATGTAAAAAACTTGTGTAGATCCTCCTCTATGTCAGTCCATGTGTAATTTTTCCATAATTCTTTGTTTTTTGCAGCATTTTTGTTAGTGTAACTGCAGATTGTGCTGACAGTGTCTATGGCACACAAAAAAAAAAAAATTAAAATGCCTCAACATGAACCCCTGGTGGTCTCTGAGGGTGAAACCTGCTAACTGCTGCAGCTCTGTCAGCTTCAGTCTCCCATGCAGAGCTCTGAGCGCATGTGTGGCTCTGCACCCTTAGCAGCGTTGCTAACTCCTCAGTAAGGAAAGCCTGCTTCATGTCAGAGTCTCTAAACTCCAGAAGAAGTCGATAAGTGAAAGCAACACGCACTGGCAGGAAGAACAGCAAACGCCGATGAAGGAAAAGGGTCTTTGCAGTGATGGGCGTTACCAGAGAGGGCGATGGCCAGAGGACACAAATGGGACGGGAAGGCAGCACGTTGGGGGGGGGGGAGGGACGCGACACGGCTCGGGCCCGCCAGTGCCCCAACGGGGTCCTAGTTATTATTTTTCCTCCGCTTTAAACTGGAAAATGGCCGACTTCCCACTGGCGAAAACTCATGAAATTTGGCAGGACGACCGGGCCTGGTGAAAAATTCGATATTCTGAAGTCGCCCAAACAATAAAATGCAAAATGGCTCCATAGCGCCCCCTAAGGCGAAAATTCACACTATTGACTGTCACGCCTGTACGCTTTGTCATATTGACACAAAAATTGACACACACGTGTATCTCAATACGTTCTACGAAAAAGTCAGCGCGGGCGCATCTGTGAAATGTACAGTTAGAGGGTTATTTCGCATTTTTTGCCGATCTGCACACATTGGAATTTCGCTAACTCCTCCGAAGGCATTCGTTCCACCGGCACCACATTTGCTCAGGCCAATCTACACCCCATGGCCATTAAAAGTTGTACAAATCATGACGCTGCACCCCACAGTTTACGTTCTAGGGGGCGCCAAAGATAACCCAAAAATCCACAGTCTTAAAAGTCTTATAACTTTTTATTTTTGTCCTCACTGGCCTCCAAGTTCTCTAGGATGATGCAATGTCCAGCCATCAACACATTTGTGAAGGAATTTTTACTCCCCAAAAGAGCGCCCCCACATGGCAGGAGAAAAAAGTCCATTTTTTCTTGTCCCCTAAGGTGAAAATACACATTGTTGAGTGTCACGCCTATACGCTTTGTCATATTGACCCAAAATTTGACAATCACGTGTATCTCAATAAGATCTACGAAAAAGTCAATGGGCACGTATCTGTAAAATGTATGGTTAAAGGGCTATTTCGCATTTTTTGCAGATTCGCACACATTGGAATGTGGCTAACTCCTCCTAAGGCTTTCTTCCCACCGACACCAAATTTGCTCAAGCCGATCTACATCCCATGGCCATTCAAAGTTGTAAAAATCATGCCGCTGCACCCCATGGTTTACGTTCTAGGGGGCGCCAAAGATGACCCAAATATCCACATTCTTAAAAGTCGTTTTGGCCACTGCAGGAGTACAGAGTACTGCAGGATACACACACACAGACACACACAAACACAGACACACACACACACACACACACACACACACACACACACACACACACACACACACACACACACAGAGTCTGTTTTTTAGCACCTGCAAAAACATGCTATTTACATATTTGACAACAATGCAGAGGCTCCTTTTGCCCCTGAAAAAAATCAAATTTCAAACACAACTTGACTGGTCATTTCTCCAAAAGACAACCATGAAGCTCCATCCAAACCTGAAGCAGGCAGTTGGTGCATGTGTACAGTTACCTGAGGGGAGTGAGGTGAGTGCTTCTGAGGAGAACATGAGCAGTGAAGATTCACCTTGGAGCGAGAACAGGGACGTGCACATGATTATACAGGGGCAGGGGCTCAAGTTTTTTCCAGTCGTTTATACAATATGGAAATTAATGTGAAATTAAAAAACAAAGTATTAATAGAAAGGTAATGACTGTCCTGTGTAGGTGACAGTGATATCCAATAGGCTAGGCACTCACGAGGCTGGCTGTGGCAAGTGTAAGTGAAAGCAACACGCACTGGCAGGAAGAACAGCAAACGCCGATGAAGGAAAAGGGTCTTTGCAGTGATGGGCGTTACCAGAGAGGACGATGGCCAGAGGACGCGAATGGGACGGGGAGGCAGCGCATTGGTGGGGGGGGGGGGGGCGCGACACAGCTCGGGCCCGCCAGTGCCCCAACGGGGCCCTAGTTTCTTTTTAGGGCCCGAGCGTAGCTGCTAAGCAGCTGCGAGAGCCCTCTTGTTCCTGATGGATTCTTCTTTCGTTATTTTTCCTCCGCTTTAAACTGGAAAATGGCCCACTTCCCACTGGCGAAAACTCATGAAATTTGGCAGGACGACCGGGCCTGGTGAAAAATTTGATATTCTGAAGTCGTCCAAACAAAAAAATGAAAAATGGCTCCATAGCGCCCCCTATGGTGAAAACTCACCTGATGCCTGTACGCTTTGTCAAAATGACACAAAATTTGACACACATGTGTATCTCAATAAGATCTACGAAAAAGTCAGTGCGGGCGTATCTGCCAAATGTACGGTTAAAGGGCTATTTCGCTTTTTTTGCCGATCCGCACACATTGGAATTTCGCTAACTCCTCCGAAGGCTTTCGTTCCACCGGCACCAAATTTGCTCAGGCCAATCTACACCCCATGGCCATTAAAAGTTGTAAAAATCATGATGCTGCACCCCACGGTTTACTTTCTAGGGGGCGCCAAAGATAACACAAAATCCACATTCTTAAAAGTCATTTTGGCCACTGCAGGAGTACAGAGTACTGCAGTTCTAGGGGGCGCCAAAGATGACCCAAAAATCCACATTCTTAAAAGTCTTTTTGGCCACTGCAGGAGTACAGAGTACTGCCGGACACACACACATATACACACACGCCAACACACACACACACACACACACACACACACAGACAGACACACTCAGAGTCTGTTTTTTAGCACCTGCAAAAACATGCTGTTTACATATTTGACAAGAATGCAGAGGCTTCCTTTTGCCCCTGAAAAAAATCAAATTTCAAACACAACTTGACTGTTCATTTCTCCAAAAGACAACCATGAAGCTCCATCCAAACCTGAAGCAGATAGTTGGTGCATGTGTACAGTAACCTGAGGAGAGTGAGGTGACTACTTCTGAGGAGAACATGAGCAGTGAAGATTCACCTTGGAGCTAGAACAGGGACGTGCACATGATTATACAGGGGCAGGGGCTCAAGTTTTTTCCAGTCATTTATACAATATGGAAATTAATGTGAAATTAAACCACAAATATGTGTGATGAACTGTTTTTAAAACTTAAACTTCAAATAAAAATTGTAAACTTCAAAACATATGCAAATTTTTAACAAAGAACATAGTAATTTACCTCTATTTACATCAAAATGCAGGCAATGGCCCAGGCGTTCTTTGTAAAATTATTTACAAAACACTGTATAGTCTCACAAATGTCACTTTTTATTTATGCCACTACAAAAAAACATGATGTAAATGATGCATGATGTAAAAAACTTGTGTAGATCCTCCTCTATGTCAGTCCATGTGTAATTTTTCCATAATTCTTTGTTTTTTGCAGCATTTTTGTTAGTGTAACTGCAGATTGTGCTGACAGTGTCTATGGCAAAAAAAAAAAAAAACTGAAAATGCCTCAACATGAACTCCTGGTGGTCTCTGAGGGTGAAACCTGCTAACTGCTGCAGCTCTCTCAGCTCTAGTCTCCCATGCAGAGCTCGGAGCGCATGTGTGGCTCTGCACCCTTAGCAGCGTTGCTAACTCCTCAGTAAGGAAAGCCTGCTTCATGTCAGAGTCTCTAAACTCCAGAGGAAGTCGATAAAATTCCCTTTCTTTCTAAAAAAAGTCGTTAGGGGGTCTGAAAAGTCATTGAATCTAACAACAAAGTCGCTAGGTTTGCAACTACGTTTCCCAGACTGCATCCCTGCTGAGAGTTCCTCCCTCCCTTCTCATATTGCAGGAAGAACGTAAGCGCCCGCCCCTTGTCAATCAGTCACCATATAATTTTGGATTGGTTGTTGTGGTGAAGTTTTCCACCAATAGGAGAGATGTTGTGGTGTGTTTTTTTTTCTTTTGGCATGCCTTTTCCGCCTGTAAGAGCTGTCGCTAATGTCTGCATGCTATGTTTTCCTGTCTCATACAGCGTGATCGAGCGCCGAACGTGATCAAAATAAGCAGAAAAAAAGTATCGCGGACATAATTTATCATAACTCTGGTTTTATTTGGCCTATCAACACAATTTAAAAACTGGTATATAGTTTGAGGTCCTCACTTTTGAGATAAGTTGAAACGGAGGGTGAACGAGGCTCCGTCTTGCAGCTACATCCGGTTAAATATGTCATGTGACTTGAACGCTGGGGAGCGTCAATCGACTGCAGAGCCAGCAGACAAAGTAGTTATGCCACTGAGAGGCACACATTTGTCATATGCTATAATCCTAACATATTTTAATGCTTTTTCTATTTAAACCTAATGGATCTAAGGTTTGACCTTCAAAATTTAGGAAGAATATTTTTTTGCAGTAATGACCCCCTTAAACAACCAGAGGTCCTTTCCTAAAGTTTATGGAAATTTTAGTGAAGGCCTTGGTTTCTTTCCTTGCAAAATGTATAGAAATAATAAAGCTAAATACCATAAAATGGTCTTGGCGTATTAGCAGTGATATAAAATAGTGGTTTGAATATGAATGAACAACAAAAAAAAACATCAACAGAGCCTTTTTGAGTTGGGATTCTTTCATTATCACACAAAAACAGACATAGACAGACATCTAAAGGGTAAGGGAATGATCAGCCCTCCTAACTCTCAGATGAATCTTCAAAATTCACCGCAGAAATATGCTTATTATTCTTCTCAGAGTACTGCAAAATATATACACACACACAGACACAGACACAGACACAGACACACACACACACACACACACACACACACACACACACACACACACACAGACAGACACACTCAGAGTCTGTTTTTTAGCACCTGCAAAAACATGCTATTTACATATTTGACAAGAATGCAGAGGCTCCTTTTGCCCCTGAAAAAAATCAAATTTCAAACACAACTTGACTGCTCATTTCTCCAAAAGACAACCATGAAGCTCCATCCAAACCTGAAGCAGGCAGTTGGTGCATGTGTACAGTAACCTGAGGGGAGTGAGGTGACTGCTTCTGAGGAGAACATGAGCAGTGAAGATTCACCTTGGAGCTAGAACAGGGACGTGCACATGATTATACAGGGGCAGGGGCTCAAGTTTTTTCCAGTCATTTATACAATATGGAAATTAATGTGAAATTAAAAAACAAAGTATTAATAGAAAGGTAATGACTGTCCTGTGTAGATGACAGTGATATCCAATAGGCTAGGCACTCACGAGGCTGGCTGTGGCAAGTGTAAGTGAAAGCAACACGCACTGGCAGGAAGAACAGCAAACGCCGATGAAGGAAAAGGGTCTTTGCAGTGATGGGCGTTACCAGAGAGGGCGATGGCCAGAGGACACGAATGGGACGGGGAGGCAGCGCGTTGGGGGGAGGCAGCGCATTGGGGGGGGGGCGGCGCGACACGGCTCGGGCCCGCCAGTGCCCCAACGGGGCCCTAGTTTCTTTTTCCTCCCCTTTAAACTGGAAAATGGCCCACTTCCCACTGGCGAAAACTCATGAAATTTGGCAGGACGACCGGGCCTGGTGAAAAATTTGATATTCTGAAGTCGCCCAAACAAGAAAATGCAAAATGGCTCCATAGCGCCCCCTAAGGTGAAAATTCACACTATTGACTGTCACGCCTGTACGCTTTGTCAAAATGACACAAAAATTGACACACACATGTATCTCAATAAGATCTACAAAAAAGTCAGTGCGGGCGTATCTGTCAAATGTACGGTTAAAGGGTTATTTCGCATTTTTTGCTGATCCGCACACATTGGAATTTCGCTAACTCCTCCTAAGGCTTTCGTTCCACCAGCACCACATTTGCTCAGGCCAATCTACACCCCATGGCCATTAAAAGTTATTCAAATCATGACGCTGCACCCCAGGTTTAGGTTCTAGGGGGCGCCAAAGATAACCCTAAAATCCACATATTTCAAAGTCTTATAACTTTTTATTTTTGCCCTCACTAGCCTCCAATTTTTCTAGGATGATGCGATGTCCAGCCATCAACACATTTGTGAAGGAATTTTTACTCCCCAAAAGAGCGCCCCCCCATGGCAGGAGAAAAAAGTCAATTTTTTCTTGTCCCCTAAGGTGAAAATACACATTGTAGAGTGTCACGCCTGTACGCTTTGTCAAAATGACACAAAAATTGACACACACATGTGTATTTCAATAAGATCTTCGAAAAAGTCAATGGCCACGTATCTGTAAAATGTACAGTTAAAGGGTTATTTCGCATTTTTTGCAGATCCGCACACATTGGAATTTCGCTAACTCCTCCGAAGGCTTTCGTTCCACCGGCACCACATTTGCTCAGGCCAATCTACACTCCATGGCCATTCAAAGTTGTAAAAATCATGACGCTGCACCCCACGGTCTACGTTCTAGGGGGCGCCAAAGAGGACCCAAATATCCACATTTTTAAAAGTCTTATAACTTTTTATTTTTGTCCTCACTGGCCTCCAAGTTTTCTAGGATGATGCAATGTCCAGCCATCAACACATTTGTGAAGGAATTTTTACTCCCCAAAAGAGCGCCCCCCCATGGCAGGAGAAAAAAGTCCATTTTTTCTTGTCCCCTAAGGTGAAAATACACATTGTTGAGTGTCATGCCTGTACGCTTTGTCAAAATGACACAAAATTCGACACACATGTGTATCTCAATAAGATCTACGAAAAAGTAAATGCAGGCGTATCTGTCAGATGTACGGTTAAAGGGCTATTTCGCATTTTTTGCCGATTCGCACACATTGGAATGTAGCTAACTCCTCCTAAGGCTTTCGCTCCACCGGCACCAAATTTGCTCAGGACAATCTACACCCCATGGCCATTCAAAGTTGTAAAAATCATGACGCTGCACCCCACGGTTTAAGTTCTAGGGGGCGCCAAAGATGACCCAAATATCCATATTCTTAAAAGTGTTATAACATTTTATTTTTGTCCTCACTGGCCTCCATGTTTTCTAGGATGATGCAATGTCCAGCCATCAACACATTTGTGAAGGAGTTTTTTCTTGTTAAAAGAGCGCCCCACCATGGCAGGAGAATAAAGTCAAGTTTTTCCTGTTCATCGTTCAATGGCTCAAACGCATCGCTCTCTCGGCAAAAGCGAAAGGAGGAGCAACTTGCCATTTGGATATATCTTAGCTGTGTTTGTGCCCTCACTCATGGTCCAGACTTTTTTCAAATAGGACATGGAGTTTTTCTGCAGCGAGCGTTTTGGTAGAAACTGCGCCTCCCATTCATTATAATGGTAAATGACCACAGACAAGTGCGCACACCATCTTTGGACCTTGAGTGTGACGCGATTGGGTGGGGGAGGCGGTCGCGCTGGGGGCGGCGCGACACGGCTCGGGCCCGCCAGTGCCCCACCGGGGCCCTAGTTAGGGCCCGAGCCAGCTGCAGAGCAGCCGGGCGTAGAGCCCTATTATTCCTGTAGTGGTTTTTCTTAGCGCCCCCTAAGGTGAAAATTCACACTATTGACTGTCACGCCTGTACGCTTTGTCAAAATGACACAAAAATTGACACACACATGTATCTCAATAAGATCTACAAAAAAGTCAGTGCGGGCGTATCTGTCAAATGTACAGTTAAAGGGTTATTTCGCTTTTTTTGCCGATCCGCACACATTGGAATTTCGCTAACTCCTCCGAAGGCTTTCGTTCCACCGGCACCACATTTGCTCAGGCCAATCTACACCCCATGGCCATTAAAAGTTATTCAAATCATGACGCTGCACCCCACGGTTTAGGTTCTAGGGGGCGCCAAAGATAACCCTAAGATCCACATATTTAAAAGTCTTATAACTTTTTATTTTTGTCCCCACTGGCCTCCAAGTTTTCTAGGATGATGCAATGTCCAGCCATCAACACATTTGTGAAGGAATTTTTACTCCCCAAAAGAGCGCCCCACCATGGCAGGAGAAAAAAGTCCATTTTTTCTTGTCCCCTAAGGTGAAAATACACATTGTTGAGTGTAACACCTGTACGCTTTGGCAAAATGACACCAAAATTGACACACATATGTATCTCAATAAGATCTACAAAAAAGTCAATGCGCGCGTGTCTGTCAAATGTACGGTTAAAGGGTTATTCCGCATTTTTTGCCGATCCGCACACATTGGAATTTCGCTAACTCCTCCGAAGGCTTTCGTTCCACCGGCACCACATTTGCTCAGGCCAATCTACACCCCATGGCCATTAAAAGTTATTCAAATCATGACGCTGCACCCCACGGTTTAGGTTCTAGGGGGCGCCAAAGATAACCCTAAAATCCACATATTTAAAAGTCTTATAACTTTTTATTTTTGTCCTCACTGGCCTCCATGTTTTCTAGGATGATGCAATGTCCAGCCATCAACACATTTGTGAAGGAGTTTTTTCTCGTTAAAAGAGCGCCCCCCCATGGCAGGAGAATAAAGTCAAGTTTTTCCTGTTCATCATTCAATGGCTCAAACGCACTGCTCTCTCGGCAAAAGCGAAAGGAGGAGCAACTTGCCATTTGGATATATCTTAGCTGTGTTTGTGACCTCACTCATGGTCCAGACTTTTTTCAAATAGGACATGGAGTTTTTCTGCAGCGAGCGTTTTGGTAGAAACTGCGCCTCCCGTTCATTATAATGGTAAATGACCACAAACAAGTGCGCACACCATCTTTGAACCTTGAGTGTGACGCGATCGGGTGGGGGAGGCGGTCGCGCTGGGGGCGGCATGACACGGCTCGGGCCCGCCAGTGCCCCAACGGGGCCCTAGTTAGGGCCCGAGCGTAGCTGCTAAGCAGCTGCGAGAGCCCTATTATTCCCCAAGTGGTTTTTCTTTGTTTGTTTCTTTCTTTCTTTCTTTCTTTAGGGCCCGAGCGTAGCTGCTAAGCAGCTGCGAGAGCCCTATTATTCCCCAAGTGGTTTTTCTTTGTTTCTTTCTTTCTTTCTTCTTTTTCCTCCCCTTTGAACTGGAAAATGGCCCACTTCCCAATGGCGAAAACTCATGAAATTTGGCAGGACGACCGGGCCTGGTGAAAAATTCGATATTCTGAAGTCGCCCAAACAATAAAATGCAAAATGGCTCAATAGCGCCCCCTAAGGTGGAAATTCACACTATTGACTGTCACGCCTGTACGCTTTGTCATATTGACACAAAAATTGACACACATATGTATCTCAATAAGATCTACAAAAAAGTCAGTGCGGCCGTATCTGTCAAAATTACGGTTAAAGGGTTATTTGGCATTTTTTGCCGATCCGCACACATTGGAATTTCGCTAACTTCTCCGAAGGCTTTCGTTCCACCGGCACCACATTTGCTCAGGCCAATCTAAACCCCGTGGCCATTAAAAGTTATCAAAATCATGACGCTGCACCACAAGGTTTAGGTTCTAGGGGGCGCCAAAGATAACACTAAAATCCACATATTTAAAAGTCTTATAACTTTTTATTTTTGTCCTCACTGGCCTCCAAGTTTTCTAGGATGATGCAATGTCCAGCCATCAACACATTTGTGAAGGAATTTTTACTCCCCAAAAGAGCGCCCCCCCATGGCAGGAGAAAAAAGTCCATTTTTTCTTGTCCCCTAAGGTGAAAATACACATTGTTGAGTGTCACGCCTATACGCTTTGTCAAAATGACACAAAAATTGACACACACGTAACTCAATAAGATCTACGAAAAAGTCAATGCGCGCGTATCTGTCAAATGTACGGTTAAAGGGTTATTCCGCATTTTTTGCCGATCCGCACACATTGGAATGTGGCTAACTCCTCCTAAGGCTTTCGTTCCACCGGCACCACATTTGCTCAGGCCAATCTACACCCCATGGCCATTAGAAGTTATCAAAATCATGACGCTGCACCCCAAGGTTTAGGTTCTAGGGGGCGCCAAAGATAACACTAAAATCCACATATTTAAAAGTCTTATAACTTTTTATTTTTGTCCTCACTGGCCTCCAAGTTTTCTAGGATGATGCAATGTCCAGCCATCAACACATCTGTGAAGGAATTTTTACTCGCCAAAAGAGCGCCCCCCCCCCATGGCAGGAGAAAAAAGTCCATTTTTTCTTGTCCCCTAAGGTGAAAATACACATTGTTGAGTGTCACGCCTGTACGCTTTGGCAAAATGACACAAAAATTGACACACACATGTATCTCAATAAGATCTACAAAAAAGTCCACGCGCGCGTATCTGTCAAATGTACGGTTAAAGGGTTATTCCGCATTTTTTGCCGATACGCACACATTGGAATTTCGCTAACTCCTCCGAAGGCTTTCGTTCCACCGGCACCACATTTGCTCAGGCCAATCTACACCCCATGGCCATTAAAAGTTATTCAAATCATGATGCTGCACCCCATGGTTTAGGTTCTAGGGGGCGCCAAAAATAACCCAAAAATCCACATTCTTAAATGTTTTATAACTTTTTTTTTTTGTCCTCACTGGCCTCCAAGTTTTCTAGGATGATGCAATGTCCAGCCATCAACACATTTGTGAAGGAATTTTTACTCCCCAAAAGAGCGCCCCCCCATGGTAGGAGAAAAAAGTCAATTTTTTCTTGTCCCCTTACATGAAAATACACATTGTTGAGTGTCACGCCTGAACGCTATGTCATATTGACACAAAAATTGACAATCATGTGTATCTCAATTAGATCTACGAAAAAGTCAATGCGCGTATCTGTATAATGTACGGTTAAAGGGCTATTTTGCATTTTTTGCCGATTCGCACACATTGGAATGTGGCTAACTCCTCCTAAATCTTTTGTCCCATCGGCTTCAAATTTGCTCAGGTCAATCTACACCCCATGGCCATTCAAAGTTGTACAAATCATGACGCTGCACCCCACAGTTTACGTTCTAGGGGGCGCCAAAGAGGACCCAAATATCCACATTTTTAAAAGTCTTATAACTTTTTATTTTTGTCCTCACTGGCCTCCAAGTTTTCTAGGATGATGCAATGTCCAGCCATCAACACATTTGTGAAGGAATTTTTTCTCCCCAAAAGAGCGCCCCCCCATGGCAGGAGAAAAAGTCAAGTTTTTCCTGCCCATCGCTCAATGGCTCAAACGCATCGCTCTCTCGGCAAAACCGAAAGGAGGAGCAACTTGCCATTTGGATATATACTAGCTGTGTTTGTGCCCTCACTCATGGTCCAGACTTTTTTCAAAAAGGACATGGAGTTTGTCTGCAGCGAGCGTTTTGGTAGAAACTGCGCCTCCCATTCATTATAATGGTAAATGACCACAGACAAGTGCGCACACCATCTTTGGACCTTGAGTGTGACGCGATCGGGAGGGGTAGGCGGTCGCGCTGGGGGCGGCGCGACACGGCTCGGGCCCGCCAGTGCCCCAACGGGGCCCTAGTTCTTTCTTTCTTCTTTTTCCTCCCCTTTGAACTGGAAAATGGCCCACTTCCCACTGGCGAAAACTCATGAAATTTGGCAGGACGACCGGGCCTGGTGAAAAATTCGATATTCTGAAGTCGCCCAAACAAGAAAATGCAAAATGGCTCCATAGCGCCCCCTAAGGTGGAAATTCACACTATTGACTGTCACGCCTGTACGCTTTGTCATATTGACACAAAAATTGACACACATATGTATCTCAATAAGATCTACAAAAAAGTCAGTGCGGCCGTATCTGTCAAAATTACGGTTAAAGGGTTATTTCGCATTTTTTTCCGATCCGCACACATTGGAATTTCGCTAACTCCTCCGAAGGCTTTCGTTCCACCGGCACCACATTTGCTCAGGCCAATCTACACCCCGTGGCCATTAAAAGTTATTCAAATCATGACGCTGCACCCCAAGGTTTAGGTTCAAGGGGGCGCCAAAGATAACACTAAAATCCACATATTTAAAAGTCTTATAACTTTTTATTTTTGTCCTCACTGGCCTCCAAGTTTTCTAGGATGATGCAATGTCCAGCCATCAACACATTTGTGAAGGAATTTTTACTCCCCAAAAGAGCGCCCCCCATGGCAGGAGAAAAAAGTCCATTTTTTCTTGTCCCCTAAGGTGAAAATACACATTGTTGAGTGTAACACCTGTACGCTTTGGCAAAATGACACAAAAATTGACACACACATGTATCTCAATAAGATCTACGAAAAAGTCAATGCGCGCGTATCTGTCAAATGTACGGTTAAAGGGTTATTCCGCATTTTTTGCCGATCCGCACACATTGGAATTTCGCTAACTCCTCCGAAGGCTTTCGTTCCACCGGCACCACATTTGCTCAGGCCAATCTACACCCCATGGCCATTAAAAGTTATTCAAATCATGACGCTGCACCCCACGGTTTAGGTTCTAGGGGGCGCCAAAGATAACCGTAAAATCCACATATTTAAAAGTCTTATAACTTTTTATTTTTGTCCCCACTGGCCTCCAAGTTTTCTAGGATGATGCAATGTCCAGCCATCAACACATTTGTGAAGGAATTTTTACTCGCCAAAAGAGCGCCCCCCCATGGCAGGAGAAAAAAGTCCATTTTTTCTTGTCCACTAAGGTGAAAATACACATTATTGAGTGCTACGCCTGTATGTTTTGTCGTATTGACACAAAATTTTACATACACGTGTATTTCAATAAGATCTTCGAAAAAGTCAATGGCCACGTATCTGTAAAATGTACGGTTAAAGGGTTATTTCGCATTTTTTGCAGATTCGCACACATTGGAATTTCGCTAAATCCTCCGAAGGCTTTCGTTCCACCGGCACCACATTTGCTCAGGCCAATCTACACCCCATGGCCATTAAAAGTTATTCAAATCATGACGCTGCACCCCACGGTTTAGGTTCTAGGGGGCGCCAAAGATAACCCTAAAATCCACATATTTAAAAGTCTTATAACTTTTTATTTTTGTCCTCACTGGCCTCCATGTTTTCTAGGATGATGCAATGTCCAGCCATCAACACATTTGTGAAGGAGTTTTTTCTCGTTAAAAGAGCACCCCCCCATGGCAGGAGAATAAAATCAAGTTTTTCCTGTTCATCATTCAATGGCTCAAACGCACTGCTCCCTCGGCAAAAGCGAAAGGAGGAGCAACTTGCCATTTGGATATATCTTAGCTCTGTTTGTGCCCTCACTCATGGTCCAGACTTTTTTCAAATAGGACATGGAGTTTTTCTGCAGCGAGCGTTTTGGTAGTAACTGCGCCTCCCATTCATTATAATGGTAAATGACCACAAACAAGTGCGCACACCATCTTTGGACCTTGAGTGTGACGCGATCGGGTGGGGGAGGCGGTCGCGCTGAGGGCGGCGTGACATGGCTCGGGCCCGCCAGTGCCCCAACGGGGCCCTAGTTATTTTTGTCCCCACTGGCCTCCAAGTTTTCTAGGATGATGCAATGTCCAGCCATCAACACATTTGTGAAGGAATTTTTACTCCCCAAAAGAGCGCCCCACCATGGCAGGAGAAAAAAGTCCATTTTTTCTTGTCCCCTAAGGTGAAAATACACATTGTTGAGTGTAACACCTGTACGCTTTGGCAAAATGACACCAAAATTGACACACACATGTATCTCAATAAGATCTACAAAAAAGTCAATGCGCGCGTATCTGTCAAATGTACGGTTAAAGGGTTATTCCGCATTTTTTGCCGATCCGCACACATTGGAATTTCGCTAACTCCTCCGAAGGCTTTCGTTCCACCGGCACCACATTTGCTCAGGCCAATCTACACCCCATGGCCATTAAAAGTTATTCAAATCATGACGCTGCACCCCACGGTTTAGGTTCTAGGGGGCGCCAAAGATAACCCTAAAATCCACATATTTAAAAGTCTTATAACTTTTTATTTTTGTCCTCACTGGCCTCCATGTTTTCTAGGATGATGCAATGTCCAGCCATCAACACATTTGTGAAGGAGTTTTTTCTCGTTAAAAGAGCGCCCCCCCATGGCAGGAGAATAAAGTCAAGTTTTTCCTGTTCATCATTCAATGGCTCAAACGCACTGCTCTCTCGGCAAAAGCGAAAGGAGGAGCAACTTGCCATTTGGATATATCTTAGCTGTGTTTGTGACCTCACTCATGGTCCAGACTTTTTTCAAATAGGACATGGAGTTTTTCTGCAGCGAGCGTTTTGGTAGAAACTGCGCCTCCCGTTCATTATAATGGTAAATGACCACAAACAAGTGCGCACACCATCTTTGAACCTTGAGTGTGACGCGATCGGGTGGGGGAGGCGGTCGCGCTGGGGGCGGCGTGACACGGCTCGGGCCCGCCAGTGCCCCAACGGGGCCCTAGTTAGGGCCCGAGCGTAGCTGCTAAGCAGCTGCGAGAGCCCTATTATTCCCCAAGTGGTTTTTTAGGGCCCGAGCCAGCTGCAGAGCAGCCGGGCGTAGGCCCTATTATTCCCCAAGTGGTTTTTAGGGCCCGAGCCAGCTGCAGAGCAGCCGGGCGTAGGCCCTATTATTCCCCAAGTGGTTTTTCTTTGTTTCTTTCTTTCTTTCTTTCTTTCTTCTTTTTCCTCCCCTTTGAACTGGAAAATGGCCCACTTCCCACTGGCGAAAACTCATGAAATTTGGCAGGACGACCGGGCCTGGTGAAAAATTCGATATTCTGAAGTCGCCCAAACAATAAAATGCAAAATGGCTCCATAGCGCCCCCTAAGGTGGAAATTCACACTATTGACTGTCACGCCTGTACGCTTTGTCATATTGACACAAAAATTGACACACATATGTATCTCAATAAGATCTACAAAAAAGTCAGTGCGGCCGTATCTGTCAAAATTACGGTTAAAGGGTTATTTCGCATTTTTTGCCGATCCGCACACATTGGAATTTCGCTAACTCCTCCGAAGGCTTTCGTTCCACCGGCACCACATTTGCTCAGGCCAATCTACACCCCGTGGCCATTAAAAGTTATCAAAATCATGACGCTGCACCCCAAGGTTTAGGTTCTAGGGGGCGCCAAAGATAACACTAAAATCCACATATTTAAAAGTCTTATAACTTTTTATTTTTGTCCTCACTGGCCTCCAAGTTTTCTAGGATGATGCAATGTCCAGCCATCAACACATTTGTGAAGGAATTTTTACTCCCCAAAAGAGCGCCCCCCCCATGGCAGGAGAAAAAAGTCCATTTTTTCTTGTCCCCTAAGGTGAAAATACACATTGTTGAGTGTCACGCCTATACGCTTTGTCAAAATGACACAAAAATTGACACACACATGTAACTCAATAAGATCTACGAAAAAGTCAATGCGCGCGTATCTGTCAAATGTACGGTTAAAGGGTTATTCCGCATTTTTTGCCGATCCGCACACATTGGAATTTCGCTAACTCCTCCGAAGGCTTTCTGTCCACCGGCACCACATTTGCTCAGGCCAATCTACACCCCATGGCCATTAAAAGTTATTCAAATCATGACGCTGCACCCCACGGTTTAGGTTCTAGGGGGCGCCAAAGACAACCCTAAAATCCACATATTTAAAAGTCTTATAACTTTTTATTTTTGTCCTCACTGGCCTCCAAGTTTTCTAGGATGATGCAATGTCCAGCCATCAACACATTTGTGAAGGAATTTTTACTCCCCAAAAGAGCGCCCCCCATGGCAGGAGAAAAAAGTCCATTTTTTCTTGTCCCCTAAGGTGAAAATACATATTGTTGAGATTCACGCCTATACGCTTTGTCATATTGACACAAAATTTGACAATCACGTGCCTTGCCTGGTATCATTTTTTTTCAGCACAACCTCACCTGTGCGAATTTACAGTTATTTTATCATGTTGACATACTGAATTTACACAATGGACCCAAATTCACACACAAAACATAAAATCCGAGTGGAAAAAAGTAACATTTTTACTGTGAAAACCACAAATATGTGTGATGAACTGTTTTTAAAACTTAAACTTCAAATAAAAATTGTAAACTTCAAAACATATGCAAATTTTTAACAAAGAACATAGTGATTTACCTCTATTTACATCAAAATGCAGGCAATGGCCCAGGCGTTCTTTGTAAAATTATTTACAAAACACTGTATAGTCTCACAAATGTCACTTTTTATTTATGCCACTACAAAAAAACATGATGTAAATGATGCATGATGTAAAACATGATGTAAAAAACTTGTGTAGATCCTCCTCTATGTCAGTCCATGTGTAATTTTTCCATAATTCTTTGTTTTTTGCAGCATTTTTGTTAGTGTAACTGCAGATTGTGCTGACAGTGTCTATGGCACAAAAAAAAAAATAATTAAAATGCCTCAACATGAACCCCTGGTGGTCTCTGAGGGTGAAACCTGCTAACTGCTGCAGCTCTGTCAGCTTCAGTCTCCCATGCAGAGCTCTGAGCGCATGTGTGGCTCTGCACCCTTAGCAGCGTTGCTAACTCCTCAGTAAGGAAAGCCTGCTTCATGTCAGAGTCTCTAAACTCCAGAAGAAGTCGATAAAAGTCCCTTTCTTTCTAAAAAAAAGTCGTTAGGGGGTCTGAAAAGTCATTGAATCTAACAACAAAGTCGTTAGGTTTGCAACTACGTGTCCCAGACTGCATCCCTGCTGAGAGTCCCTCCCTCCCTTCTCATGTTGCAGGAAGAACGTAAGCGAATGATATCGACAGTGATATCGAATAGGCTAGGCACTCACGAGGCTGGCTGTGGCAAGTGTAAGTGAAAGCAACACGCACTGGCAGGAAGAACAGCAAACGCCGATGAAGGAAAAGGGTCTTTGCAGTGATGGGCGTTACCAGAGAGGGCGATGGCCAGAGGACACAAATGGGACGGGGAGGCAGCACGTTGGGGGGGGGGCGACACGGCTCGGGCCCGCCAGTGCCCCAACGGGGTCCTAGTTAGGGCCCGAGCGTAGCTGCTAAGCAGCTGCGAGAGCCCTATTATTCCCCAAGGGGTTTTTCTTTGTTTCTTTCTTTCTTTCTTTCTTCTTTTTCCTCCCCTTTGAACTGGAAAATGGCCCACTTCCCACTGGCGAAAACTCAGGAAATTTGGCAGGACGACCGGGCCTGGTGAAAAATTCGATATTCCGAAGTCGCCCAAACAAGAAAATGCAAAATGGCTCCATAGCGCCCCCTAAGGTGAAAATTCACACTATTGACTGTCACGCCTGTACGCTTTGTCAAAATGACACAAAAATTGACACACACATGTATCTCAATAAGATCTACAAAAAAGTCAGTGCGGGCGTATCTGTCAAATGTACGGTTAAAGGGTTATTTCGCATTTTTTGCCGATCCGCACACATTGGAATTTCGCTAACTCCTCCGAAGGCTTTCGTTCCACCGGCACCACATTTGCTCAGGCCAATCTACACCCCATGGCCATTAAAAGTTATTCAAATCATGACGCTGCACCCCACGGTTTAGGTTCTAGGGGGCGCCAAAGATAACCCTAAAATCCACATTTTTAAAAGTCTTATAACTTTTTATTTTTGCCCTCACTGGCCTCCAAGTTTTCTAGGATGATGCAATGTCCAGCCATCAACACATTTGTGAAGGAATTTTTACTCCCCAAAAGAGCGCCCCCCCATGGCAGGAGAAAAAAGTCCATTTTTTCTTGTCCCCTAAGGTGAAAATACACATTGTTGAGTGTCACGCCTGTACGCTTTGTCAAAATGACACAAAAATTGACACACACATGTATCTCAATAAGATCTACAAAAAAGTCCATGCGCGCGTATCTGTCTAATGTACGGTTAAAGGGTTATTCCGCATTTTTTGCCGATTCGCACACATTGGAATTTAGCTAACTCCTCCGAAGGCTTTCGTTCCACCGGCACCACATTTGCTCAGGCCAAATTACACCCCATGGCCATTAAAAGTTATTCAAATCATGACGCTGCACCCTACGGTTTACGTTCTAGGGGGCGCCAAAGATAACCCAAAAATCCACATTTTTAAAAGTCTTATAACTTTTTATTTTTGTCCTCACTGGCCTCCAAGTTTTCTAGGATGATGCAATGTCCAGCCATCAACACATTTGTGAAGGAATTTTTACTTCCTAAAAGAGCGCCCCCCATGGCAGGAGAAAAAAGTCCATTTTTTCTTGTCCCCTAAGGTGAAAATACACATTGTTGACTGTCACGCCTGTACGCTTTGGCAAAATGACACAAAAATTGACAATCATGTGTATCTCAATTAGATCTACGAAAAAGTCAAAGAGCGCGTATCTGTATAATGTACGGTAAAAGGGCTATTTTGCATTTTTTGCCGATTCGCACACATTGGAATTTCGCTAACTCCTCCTAAGGCTTTCGTCCCACTGACACCAAATTTGCTCAGGCCAATCTACACTCCATGGCCATTCAAAGTTGTAAAAATCATGACGCTGCACCCCACGGTTTACGTTTTAGGGGGCGCCAAAGATGACCCAAATATACATTACAGTAGACAAAGTAGTTTTGCCCACTGAGTGGCGCCAAAGGGACTTGTCTATGGAGTCTGTGAGTCACTATTGGCCGTTTTTGACTACTTTAGATTTTACCTTTATATTTCCTCTTACAAAATTTTTACCTTGCCTTGCCTGGTATCATTTTTTTCAGCACAACCTCACCTGTGTCAATTTACAGTTATTTTATCATTTTGACATACTATATTTACACATTGGACCCAAATTCACACACAAAACATAAAATCCGAGTGGAAAAAAGTAACGTTTTTACTGTGAAAACCACAAATATGTGTGATGAACTGTTTTTAAAACTTAAACTTCAAATAAAAATTGTAAACTTCAGAACATATGCAAATTTTTAACAAAGAACATAGTAATTTACCTCTATTTACATCAAAATGCAGGCAATGGCTCAGGTGTTCTTTGTAAAATTATTTACAAAACACTGTATAGTCTCACAAATGTCACTTTTTATTTATGCCACTACAAAAAAAACATGATGTAAATGATGCATGATGTAAAACATGATGTAAAAAACTTGTGTAGATCCTCCTCTATGTTAGTCCATGTGTAATTTTTCCATAATTCTTTGTTTTTTGCAGCATTTTTGTTAGTGTAACTGCAGATTGTGCTGACAGTGTCTATGGCAAAAAAAAAAAAAAAAAATTAAAATGCCTCAACATGAACCCCTGGTGGTCTCTGAGGGTGAAACCTGCTAACTGCTGCAGCTCTGTCAGCTTCAGTCTCCCATGCAGAGCTCGGAGCGCATGTGTGGCTCTGCACCCTTAGCAGCGTTGTTAACTCCTCAGTAAGGAAAGCCTGCTTCATGTCAGAGTCTCAAAACTCCAGAAGAAGTCGATAAAAGTCCCTTTCTTTCTAAAAGTCGTTAGGGGGTCTGAAAAGTCATTGAATCTAACAACAAAGTCGCTAGGTTTGCAACTACGTGTCCCAGACTGCATCCCTGCTGAGAGTCCCTCCCTCCCTTCTCATATTGCAGGAAGAACGTAAGCGCCCGCCCCTTGTCAATCAGTCACCATATAATTTTGGATTGGTTGTTGTGGTGAAGTTTTCCACCAATAGGAGAGATGTTGTGGTGTGTTTTTTTTTTCCTTTGGCAAGCCTTTTCCGCCTGTAAGACCTGTCGCTAATGTCTGCATGCTATGTTTTCCTGTCTCATACAGCGCGATCGAGCGCCGAACGTGATCAAAATAAGCAGAAAACAAGTATCGCGGACATAATTTATCATAACTCTGGTTTTATTTGGCCTATCAACACAATTTAAAAACTGGTATATAGGTTGAGGTCCTCACTTTTGAGATAAGTTGAAACGGAGAGTCAACGAGGCTCCGTCTTGCAGCTACATCCGGTTAAATATGTCATGTGACTTGAACGCACACACAGACACACACACACACGCACACACACACACACACACACTCAGAGTCTGGTTTTTAGCACCTGCAAAAACATGCTATTTACATATTTGACAAGAATGCAGAGGCTCCTTTTGCCCCTGAAAAAAATCAAATTTCAAACACAACTTGACTGGTCATTTCTCCAAAAGACAACCATGAAGCTCCATCCAAACCTGAAGCAGGCAGTTGGTGCATGTGCACAGTAACCTGAGGGGAGTGAGGTGACTGCTTCTGAGGAGAACATGAGCAGTGAAGATTCACCTTAGAGCTAGAACAGAGACGTGCACATGATTATACAGGGGCAGGGGCTCAAGTTTTTTCCAGTTGTTTATACAATATGGAAATTAATGTGAAATTAAAAAACAAAGTATTAATAGAAAGGTAATGACTGTCCTGTGTAGGTGACAGTGATATCCAATAGGCTAGGCACTCACGAGGCTGGCTGTGGCAAGTGTAAGTGAAAGCAACACGCACTGGCAGGAAGAACAGCAAACGCCGATGAAGGAAAAGGGTCTTTGCAGTGATGGGCGTTACCAGAGAGGGCGATGGCCAGAGGACACAAATGGGACGGGGAGGCAGCGCGTTGGGGGGGGACGCGACACAGCTCGGGCCCGCCAGTGCCCCAACGGGGTCCTAGTTCTTTGTTTCTTTCTTTCTTTTTTCTTTTTCCTCCCCTTTGAACTGGAAAATGGCCCACTTCCCACTGGCGAAAACTCATGAAATTTGGCAGGACGACCGGGCCTGGTGAAAAATTCGATATTCTGAAGTCGCCAAAACAATAAAATGCAAAATGGCTCCATAGCGCCCCCTAAGGTGGAAATTCACACTATTGACTGTCACGCCTGTACGCTTTGTCATATTGACACAAAAATTGACACACACATGTATCTCAATAAGATCTACAAAAAAGTCAGTGCGGCCGTATCTGTCAAAATTACGGTTAAAGGGTTATTTCGCATTTTTTGCCGATCCGCACACATTGGAATTTCGCTAACTCCTCCGAAGGCTTTCGTTCCACCGGCACCACATTTGCTCAGGCCAATCTACACCCCATGGCCATTAAAAGTTATCAAAATCATGACGCTGCACCCCAAGGTTTAGGTTCTAGGGGGCGCCAAAGATAACACTAAAATCCACATATTTAAAAGTCTTATAACTTTTTATTTTTGTCCTCACTGGCCTCCAAGTTTTCTAGGATGATGCAATGTCCAGCCATCAACACATTTGTGAAGGAATTTTTACTCCCCAAAAGAGCGCCCCCCCATGGCAGGAGAAAAAAGTCCATTTTTTCTTGTCCCCTAAGGTGAAAATACACATTGTTGAGTGTCACGCCTATACGCTTTGTCAAAATGACACAAAAATTGACACACACGTAACTCAATAAGATCTACAAAAAAGTCCATGCGCGCGTATCTGTCAAATGTACAGTTAAAGGGTTATTCCGCATTTTTTGCCGATCCGCACACATTGGAATTTCGCTAACTCCTCCGAAGGCTTTCGTTCCACCGGCACCACATTTGCTCAGGCCAATCTACACCCCATGGCCATTAAAAGTTATTCAAATCATGATGCTGCACCCCATGGTTTAGGTTCTAGGGGGCGCCAAAAATAACCCAAAAATCCACATTCTTAAATGTTTTATAACTTTTTATTTTTGTCCTCACTGGCCTCCAAGTTTTCTAGGATGATGCAATGTCCAGCCATCAACACATTTGTGAAGGAATTTTTACTCCCCAAAAGAGCGCCCCCCCATGGTAGGAGAAAAAAGTCAATTTTTTCTTGTCCCCTTACATAAAAATACACATTGTTGAGTGTCACGCCTGAACGCTTTGTCATATTGACACAAAAATTGACAATCATGTGTATCTCAATTAGATCTACGAAAAAGTCAAAGAGCGCGTATCTGTATAATGTACGGTTAAAGGGCTATTTTGCATTTTTTGCCGATTCGCACACATTGGAATGTGGCTATCTCCTCCTAAGGCTTTCGTCCCACCGATACCAAATTTGCTCAGGGCAATCTACACCCCATGCCCATTCAAAGTTGTAAAAATCATGACGCTGCACCCCACGGTTTACGTTCTAGGGGGCGCCAAAGATGACCCAAAAATCCACATTCTTAAAAGTCATTTTGGCCACTGCAGGAGTACAGAGTACTGCAGTTCTAGGGGGCGCCAAAGATGACCCAAAAATCCACATTCTTAAAAGTCTTTTTGGCCACTGCAGGAGTACAGAGTACTGCAGGATACACACACATATACACACACGCCAACATACACACACACACACACACACACACACACACACACACACACTCAGAGTCTGTTTTTTAGCACCTGCAAAAACATGCTGTTTACATATTTGACAAGAATGCAGAGGCTTCCTTTTGCCCCTGAAAAAAATCAAATTTCAAACACAACTTGACTGTTCATTTCTCCAAAAGACAACCATGAAGCTCCATTTCAAACCTGAAGCAGATAGTTGGTGCATGTGTACAGTAACCGGAGGGGAGTGAGGTGACTATTTCTGAGGAGAACATGAGCAGTGAAGATTCACCTTGGAGCTAGAACAGGGACGTGCACATGATTATACAGGGGCAGGGGCTCAAGTTTTTTCCAGTCATTTATACAATATGGAAATTAATGTGAAATTAAACCACAAATATGTGTGATGAACTGTTTTTAAAACTTAAACTTCAAATAAAAATTGTAAACTTCAAAACATATGCAAATTTTTAACAAAGAACATAGTAATTTACCTCTATTTACATCAAAATGCAGGCAATGGCCCAGGCGTTCTTTGTAAAATTATTTACAAAACACTGTATAGTCTCACAAATGTCACTTTTTATTTATGCCACTACAAAAAAACATGATGTAAATGATGCATGATGTAAAACATGATGTAAAAAACTTGTGTAGATCCTCCTCTATGTCAGTCCATGTGTAATTTTTCCATAATTCTTTGTTTTTTGCAGCATTTTTGTTAGTGTAACTGCAGATTGTGCTGACAGTGTCTATGGCACAAAAAAAAAAAAAAAATTAAAATGCCTCAACATGAACCCCTGGTGGTCTCTGAGGGTGAAACCTGCTAACTGCTGCAGCTCTGTCAGCTTCAGTCTCCCATGCAGAGCTCGGAGCGCATGTGTGGCTCTGCACCCTTAGCAGCGTTGCTAACTCCTCAGTAAGGAAAGCCTGCTTCATGTCAGAGTCTCTAAACTCCAGAAGAAGTCGATAAAAGTCCCTTTCTTTCTAAAAAAAAGTCGTTAGGGGGTCTGAAAAGTCATTGAATCTAACAACAAAGTCGCTAGGTTTGCAACTACGTGTCCCAGACTGCATCCCTGCTGAGAGTCCCTCCCTCCCTTCTCATGTTGCAGGAAGAACGTAAGCGCCCGCCCCTTGTCAATCAGTCACCATATAATTTTGGATTGGTTGTTGTGGTGAAGTTTTCCACCAATAGGAGAGATGTTGTGGTGTGTTTTTTTTTTCCTTTGGCAAGCCTTTTCCGCCTGTAAGACCTGTCGCTAATGTCTGCATGCTATGTTTTCCTGTCTCATACAGCGCGATCGAGCGCCGAACGTGATCAAAATAAGCAGAAAAAAAGTATCGCGGACATAATTTATCATAACTCTGGTTTTATTTGGCCTATCAACACAATTTAAAAACTGGTATATAGGTTGAGGTCCTCACTTTTGAGATAAGTTGAAACGGAGAGTCAACGAGGCTCCGTCTTGCAGCTACATCCGGTTAAATATGTCATGTGACTTGAACGCACACACAGACACACACACACGCACACACACACACACACACACACACACACACACACACACACACACACACTCAGAGTCTGGTTTTTAGCACCTGCAAAAACATGCTATTTACATATTTGACAAGAATGCAGAGGCTCCTTTTGCCCCTGAAAAGAATCAAATTTCAAACACAACTTGACTGGTCATTTCTCCAAAAGACAACCATGAAGCTCCATCCAAACCTGAAGCAGGCAGTTGGTGCATGTGTACAGTAACCTGAGGGGAGTGAGGTGAGTGCTTCTGAGGAGAACATGAGCAGTGAAGATTCACCTTGGAGCTAGAACAGAGACATGCACATGATTATACAGGGGCAGGGGCTCAAGTTTTTTCCAGTCGTTTATACAATATGGAAATTAATGTGAAATTAAAACACAAAGTATTAATAGAAAGGTAATGACTGTCCTGTGTAGGTGACAGTGATATCCAATAGGCTAGGCACTCACGAGGCTGGCTGTGGCAAGTGTAAGTGAAAGCAACACGCACTGGCAGGAAGAACAGCAAACGCCGATGAAGGAAAAGGGTCTTTGCAGTGATGGGCGTTACCAGAGAGGGCGATGGCCAGAGGACACAAATGGGACGGGGAGGCAGCACGTTGGGGGGGGGGGGACGCGACATGGCTCGGGCCCGCCAGTGCCCCAACGGGGTCCTAGTTAGGGCCCAAGCGTAGCTGCTAAGCAGCTGCGAGAGCCCTCTTGTTCCTGTAGTTTCCTTCTTTTTAGGGCCCGAGCGTAGCTGCTAAGCAGCTGCGAGAGCCCTATTATTCCCCAAGTGGTTTTTCTTTGTTTCTTTCTTTCTTTCTTTCTTTCTTTCTTCTTTTTCCTCCCCTTTGAACTGGAAAATGGCCCACTTCCCACTGGCGAAAACTCATGAAATTTGGCAGGACGACCGGGCCTGGTGAAAAATTCGATATTCTGAAGTCGCCCAAACAATAAAATGCAAAATGGCTCCATAGCGCCCCCTAAGGTGGAAATTCACACTATTGACTGTCACGCCTGTACGCTTTGTCATATTGACACAAAAATTGACACACATATGTATCTCAATAAGATCTATAAAAAAGTCAGTGCGGCCGTATCTGTCAAATGTACGGTTAAAGGGTTATTTCGCATTTTTTTCCGATCCGCACACATTGGAATTTCGCTAACTCCTCCGCAGGCTTTCGTTCCACCGGCACCACATTTGCTCAGGCCAATCTACACCCCGTGGCCATTAAAAGTTATCAAAATCATGACGCTGCACCCCAAGGTTTAGGTTCTAGGGGGCGCCAAAGATAACACTAAAATCCACATATTTAAAAGTCTTATAACTTTTTATTTTTGTCCTCACTGGCCTCCAAGTTTTCTAGGATGATGCAATGTCCAGCCATCAACACATTTGTGAAGGAATTTTTACTCCCCAAAAGAGCGCCCCCCCATGGAAGGAGAAAAAAGTCCATTTTTTCTTGTCCCCTAAGGTGAAAATACACATTGTTGAGTGTCACGCCTATACGCTTTGTCAAAATGACACAAAAATTGACACACACATGTAACTCAATAAGATCTACGAAAAAGTCAATGCGCGCGTATCTGTCAAATGTACGGTTAAAGGGTTATTCCGCATTTTTTGCCGATCCGCACACATTGGAATTTCGCTAACTCCTCCGAAGGCTTTCGTTCCACCGGCACCACATTTGCTCAGGCCAATCTACACCCCATGGCCATTAAAAGTTATTCAAATCATGACGCTGCACCCCACGGTTTAGGTTCTAGGGGGCGCCAAAGACAACCCTAAAATCCACATATTAAAAAGTCTTATAACTTTTTATTTTTGTCCTCACTGGCCTCCAAGTTTTCTAGGATGATGCAATGTCGAGCCATCAACACATTTGTGAAGGAATTTTTACTCCCCAAAAGAGCGCCCCCCCATGGCAGGAGAAAAAAGTCCATTTTTTCTTGTCCCCTAAGGTGAAAATACATATTGTTGAGATTCACGCCTATACGCTTTGTCATATTGACACAAAATTTGACAATCACGTGCCTTGCCTGGTATCATTTTTTTTCAGCACAACCTCACCTGTGCGAATTTACAGTTATTTTATCATGTTGACATACTGAATTTACACAATGGACCCAAATTCACACACAAAACATAAAATCCGAGTGGAAAAAAGTAACATTTTTACTGTGAAAACCACAAATATGTGTGATGAACTGTTTTTAAAACTTAAACTTCAAATAAAAATTGTAAACTTCAAAACATATGCAAATTTTTAACAAAGAACATAGTGATTTACCTCTATTTACATCAAAATGCAGGCAATGGCCCAGGCGTTCTTTGTAAAATTATTTACAAAACACTGTATAGTCTCACAAATGTCACTTTTTATTTATGCCACTACAAAAAAACATGATGTAAATGATGCATGATGTAAAACATGATGTAAAAAACTTGTGTAGATCCTCCTCTATGTCAGTCCATGTGTAATTTTTCCATAATTCTTTGTTTTTTGCAGCATTTTTGTTAGTGTAACTGCAGATTGTGCTGACAGTGTCTATGGCACAAAAAAAAAAAAAATTTAAAATGCCTCAACATGAACCCCTGGTGGTCTCTGAGGGTGAAACCTGCTAACTGCTGCAGCTCTGTCAGCTTCAGTCTCCCATGCAGAGCTCTGAGCGCATGTGTGGCTCTGCACCCTTAGCAGCGTTGCTAACTCCTCAGTAAGGAAAGCCTGCTTCATGTCAGAGTCTCTAAACTCCAGAAGAAGTCGATAAAAGTCCCTTTCTTTCTAAAAAAAGTCGTTAGGGGGTCTGAAAAGTCATTGAATCTAACAACAAAGTTGCTAGGTTTGCAACTACGTGTCCCAGACTGCATCCCTGCTGAGAGTCCCTCCCTCGCTTCTCATGTTGCAGGAAGAACGTAAGCGCCCGCCCCTTGTCAATCAGTCACCATATAATTTTGGATTGGTTGTTGTGGTGAAGTTTTCCACCAATAGGAGAGATGTTGTGGTGTGTTTTTTTTTTCTTTTGGCAAGCCTTTTCCGCCTGTAAGACCTGTCGCTAATGTCTGCATGCTATGTTTTCCTGTCTCATACAGCGCGATCGAGCGCCGAACGTGATCAAAATAAGCAGAAAAAAAGTATCGCGGACATAATTTATCATAACTCTGGTTTTATTTGGCCTATCAACACAATTTAAAAACTGGTATATAGGTTGAGGTCCTCACTTTTGAGATAAGTTGAAACGGAGAGTCAACGAGTCAACCGTCTTGCAGCTACATCCGGTTAAATATGTCATGTGACTTGAACGCACACACAGACACACACACACGCACACACACACACACACACACACTCAGAGTCTGGTTTTTAGCACCTGCAAAAACATGCTATTTACATATTTGACAAGAATGCAGAGGCTCCTTTTGCCCCTGATAAAAATCAAATTTCAAACACAACTTGACTGGTCATTTCTCCAAAAGACAACCATGAAGCTCCATCCAAACCTGAAGCAGGTAGTTGGTGCATGTGTACAGTAACCTGAGGGGAGTGAGGTGAGTGCTTCTGAGGAGAACATGAGCTGTGAAGATTCACCTTGGAGCTAGAACAGAGACATGCACATGATTATACAGGGGCAGGGGCTCAAGTTTTTTCCAATCGTTTATACAATATGGAAATTAATGTGAAATTAAAACACAAAGTATTAATAGAAAGGTAATGACTGTCCTGTGTAGGTGACAGTGATATCCAATAGGCTAGGCACTCACGAGGCTGGCTGTGGCAAGTGTAAGTGAAAGCAACACGCACTGGCAAGAAGAACAGCAAACGCCGATGAAGGAAAAGGGTCTTTGCAGTGATGGGCGTTACCAGAGAGGGCGATGGCCAGAGGACACAAATGGGACGGGGAGGCAGCACGTTTGGGGGGGGGACGCGACACGGCTCGGGCCCGCCAGTGCCCCAACGGGGTCCTAGTGTTATTATTAGGGCCCGAGCGTAGCTGCTAAGCAGCTGCGAGAGCCCTATTATTCCCCAAGTGGTTTTTCTTTGTTTCTTTCTTTCTTCTTTTTCCTCCCCTTTGAACTGGAAAATGGCCCACTTCCCACTGGCGAAAACTCATGAAATTTGGCAGGATGACCGGGCCTGGTGAAAAATTTGATATTCCGAAGTCGCCCAAACAAGAAAATGCAAAATGGCTCCATAGCGCCCCCTAAGGTGAAAATTCACACTATTGACTGTCACGCCTTTACGCTTTGTCAAAATGACACAAAAATTGACACACACATGTATCTCAAGAAGATCTACGAAAAAGTCAGTGCGGGCGTATCTGTCAAATGTACGGTTAAAGGGTTATTCCGCATTTTTTGCCGATCCGCACACATTGGAATTTCGCTAACTCCTCCGAAGGCTTTCGTTCCACCGGCACCACATTTGCTCAGGCCAATCTACACCCCATGGCCATTAAAAGTTATTCAAATCATGACGCTGCACCCCACGGTTTAGGTTCTAGGGGGCGCCAAAGATAACTCTAAAATCCACATATTTCAAAGTCTTATAACTTTTTATTTTTGCCCTCACTGGCCTCCAAGTTTTCTAGGATGATGCAATGTCCAGCCATCAACACATTTGTGAAGGAATTTTTACTCCCCAAAAGAGCGCCCCCCCATGGCAGGAGAAAAAAGTCCATTTTTTCTTGTCGCCTAAGGTGAAAAAACACATTGTTGACTGTCATACCTTTACGCTTTGTCAAATTGACACAAAATTTGACAATCACATGTATCTCAATAAGATCTACGAAAAAGTCAATGCGCGCGTATCTGTAAAATGTACGGTTAAAGGGCTATTTCGCATTTATTGCTGATTCGCACACATTGGAATGTGGCTAACTCCTCCTAAGGCTTTCGTCCCACTGACACCAAATTTGCTCAGGCCAATCTACACCCCATGGCCATTCAAAGTTGTAAAAATCATGACGCTGCACCCCACGGTTTACGTTCTAGGGGGCGCCAAAGATGACCCAAATATCCACATTCTTAAAAGAATCCACATCCCCCCCCCCATCCCCCATCCCCCATGGCAGGAGAAACAGTCAAGTTTTTCCTGCCCATCACTCAATGGCTCAATCGCATCACTCTCCCGGCAACACCGTAACGAGGAGCAACTTGCCGTTTGGATATATCCTAGCTGTGTTTGTGCCCTCACTCATGGTCCAGACTTTTTTCAAATAGGACATGTAGTTTGTCTGCAGCGAGTGTTTTGGTAGAAACTGCGCCTCCCATTCATTATAATGGGAAATGACCACAGACAAGTGCGCACACCATCTTTGGACCTTGAGTGTGACGCGATCGGGAGGGGGAGGCGGTCGCGCTGGGGGCGGCGCAACGCGGCTCGGGCCCGCCAGTGCCCCACCGGGGTCCTAGTTATTAGGGCCCGAGCGTAGCTGCTAAGCAGCTGCGAGAGCCCTATTATTCCCCAAGGGGTTTTTCTTTGTTTCTTTCTTTCTTTCTTTCTTCTTTTTCCTCCCCTTTGAACTGGAAAATGGCCCACTTCCCACTGGCGAAAACTCAGGAAATTTGGCAGGACGACCGGGCCTGGTGAAAAATTCGATATTCTGAAGTCGCCCAAACAATAAAATGCAAAATGGCTCCATAGCGCCCCCTAAGGTGGAAATTCACACTATTGACTGTCACGCCTGTACGCTTTGTCATATTGACACAAAAATTGACACACATATGTATCTCAATAAGATCTACAAAAAAGTCAGTGCGGCCGTATCTGTCAAATGTACGGTTAAAGGGTTATTTTGCATTTTTTTCCGATCCGCACACATTGGAATTTCGCTAACTCCTCCGAAGGCTTTCGTTCCACCGGCACCACATTTGCTCAGGCCAATCTACACCCCGTGGCCATTAAAAGTTATCAAAATCATGACGCTGCACCCCAAGGTTTAGGTTCTAGGGGGCGCCAAAGATAACACTAAAATCCACATATTTAAAAGTCTTATAACTTTTTATTTTTGTCCTCACTGGCCTCCAAGTTTTCTAGGATGATGCAATGTCCAGCCATCAACACATTTGTGAAGGAATTTTTACTCCCCAAAAGAGCGCCCCCCATGGCAGGAGAAAAAAGTCCATTTTTTCTTGTCCCCTAAGGTGAAAATACACATTGTTGACTGTCACGCCTTTACGCTTTGTCAAAATGACACAAAAATTGACACACACATGTAACTCAATAAGATCTACGAAAAAGTCAACGCGCGCGTATCTGTCAAATGTACGGTTAAAGGGTTATTCCGCATTTTTTGCCGATCCGCACACATTGGAATTTCGCTAACTCCTCCGAAGGCTTTCGTTCCACCGGCACCACATTTGCTCAGGCCAATCTACACCCCATGGCCATTAAAAGTTATTCAAATCATGACGCTGCACCCCACGGTTTAGGTTCTAGGGGGCGCCAAAGATAACCGTAAAATCCACATATTTAAAAGTCTTATAACTTTTTATTTTTGTCCCCACTGGCCTCCAAGTTTTCTAGGATGATGCAATGTCCAGCCATCAACACATTTGTGAAGGAATTTTTACTCGCCAAAAGAGCGCCCCCCCATGGCAGGAGAAAAAAGTCCATTTTTTCTTGTCCACTAAGGTGAAAATACACATTATTGAGTGCTACGCCTGTATGTTTTGTCGTATTGACACAAAATTTTACATACACGTGTATTTCAATAAGATCTTCGAAAAAGTCAATGGCCACGTATCTGTAAAATGTACGGTTAAAGGGTTATTTCGCATTTTTTGCAGATTCGCACACATTGGAATTTCGCTAAATCCTCCGAAGGCTTTCGTTCCACCGGCACCACATTTGCTCAGGCCAATCTACACCCCATGGCCATTAAAAGTTATTCAAATCATGACGCTGCACCCCACGGTTTAGGTTCTAGGGGGCGCCAAAGATAACCCTAAAATCCACATATTTAAAAGTCTTATAACTTTTTATTTTTGTCCTCACTGGCCTCCATGTTTTCTAGGATGATGCAATGTCCAGCCATCAACACATTTGTGAAGGAGTTTTTTCTCGTTAAAAGAGCACCCCCCCATGGCAGGAGAATAAAATCAAGTTTTTCCTGTTCATCATTCAATGGCTCAAACGCACTGCTCCCTCGGCAAAAGCGAAAGGAGGAGCAACTTGCCATTTGGATATATCTTAGCTCTGTTTGTGCCCTCACTCATGGTCCAGACTTTTTTCAAATAGGACATGGAGTTTTTCTGCAGCGAGCGTTTTGGTAGAAACTGCGCCTCCCATTCATTATAATGGTAAATGACCACAAACAAGTGCGCACACCATCTTTGGACCTTGAGTGTGACGCGATCGGGTGGGGGAGGCGGTCGCGCTGAGGGCGGCGTGACATGGCTCGGGCCCGCCAGTGCCCCAACGGGGCTCTAGTTTCTTCTTTTTCCTCCCCTTTGAACTGGAAAATGGCCCACTTCCCACTGGCGAAAACTCATGAAATTTGGCAGGACGACCGGGCCTGGTGAAAAATTCGATATTCTGAAGTCGCCCAAACAATAAAATGCAAAATGGCTCCATAGCGCCCCCTAAGGTGAAAATTCACACTATTGACTGTCACGCCTGTACGCTTTGTCATATTGACACAAAAATTGACACACATATGTATCTCAATAAGATCTACAAAAAAGTCAGTGCGGGCGTATCTGTCAAAATGTACGGTTAAAGGGTTATTTCGCATTTTTTTCCGATCCGCACACATTGGAATTTCGCTAACTCCTCCGAAGGCTTTCGTTCCACCGGCACCACATTTGCTCAGGCCAATCTACACCCCATGGCCATTAAAAGTTATTCAAATCATGACGCTGCACCCCACGGTTTAGGTTCTAGGGGGCGCCAAAGATAACCCTAAGATCCACATATTTAAAAGTCTTAT